GTGTTATTTTAACTGACAGGACATATATTCAGAGTAAATTAAAGGGGATCATTGCAAATTCTTAATGAGCAAAACTGGCAATAAGATGAAGCGAAAACTTCATTTTATCTCCTGCCAAAATAGTGATAGAATAAGGTTCCCAACTGTATTTATATTTCAGATGAGCCCTTTACAGAATGCTGTTTTGCAATTTCGATATTCTGACAACTTGGGTTTACAAAATAAAACCATCCATTTGATAGAAAACTGTTTTTCCCCCCCTGACAAGAATTAGAAAACAGAAACAGGAATTTCTAGGACTTTCCCAACCTAGATCTGACAGGAAGGAAGGAAGGATCAGAGAGATATTGTGGTCATCACAATTTCTGTGAAACCACTATGAAGGTGTGCCTTTTAGTGATGCATTCTATGGGATGAGTTAACTGTAATTTTTGGCACAGGTAATCAAAGATGGTCCTCACCAGTGGAAGTGCTTGCTTCTCTAGTGGATGTGGTTAGTTCTTGGAGAAAAGAAAGAAAAAGAAAGAATGAAAGCAATCTCAAAGGGAGCCCAATTTTTCTCCTGTTAGAATGGGGTGTTTTTTTAACTGACAGGACATATATTCAGAGTAAATTAAAGGGGATCATTGCAAATTCTTAACGAGCAAAACTGGCAATAAGATAAAGCGAAAACTTCATTTTATCTCCTGCCAAAATAGTGATAGAATAAGGTTCCCAACTGTATTTATATTTCAGATGAGCCCTTTACAGAATGCTGTTTTGCAATTTCGATATTCTGACAACTTGGGTTTACAAAATAAAACCATCCATTTGATAGAAAACTGTTTTTTTCCCCCTGACAAGAATTAGAAAACAGGAACGTGAGGAAAACACGTTTTCTATAAAATACAGTTTTAGAAGTTCAGAAGTCAACTATACCCTGACCTCCAACTCTCCTCCCTTGGCAACCCCAGCCAGGACACACTCAGCTCTGTGATTGCCAACACTGGACTTGGAAATTTCTGGGAGGGACTTCAGTGAGGTATAATGCCTAAGGTTGTCAGGTCCCCGGGGAGGGAACCCCGCTCGATGGGTCTGTTACCTGCCGGCTCGGATCAGACTGCCGGGGGGCACCCCACCCCAAAAGTGCCGGAATTGTGGAGATGTGCCCAGCATGATGACGTCACCCGGAGGTGATGTCATCAGATCGGGCATGTTGCGGGGGGAGACGCTCTATCATTTGAGGGAAAACTCTATGGTTTCCCCTTGAAAGATAGTGGTCCCACCCCCAAGATGCCCAATGTGATGTCACTTCCGGGTGACATCATTGCGGCGCGTGTGCGCCAAAGGACTCCTGGAGAGGGCCAGGACTCCCCCCGCTGCAGCCAAGGTAGGACTTGGAAACCCTAATAATGCCCTTGCCTCCACCTCCTAAGCACCTGTTTTCTCCAGGGACCTGATCTCTGTAGTCCAGATATCAGTTATAATTCTATGAGATCTCCAGGCCCCAACTGGAGGTTGGCAATGTTAGCCATTACTACCTTTACTGCTAGGCTGTCTGGGATATATGTTTCATTGTTGGTTCCTAGGCAGTTCAGCCTGCTGTCAGTAAGAGCCCATTCATTGTTAAATAGGCAGAATTATTCCAAATATCTAGAACTATAAAATTTAGAATTATTTAGAATATTTTGAATATGGCTTTATTCAGAAAAATCTGCTTTTTCAAACAGAAAATTTAATACCACCAAGGAAAACTGGCTTGATTTTCATATTTTGTATTTCTGTAGTTTGTAGATTTACAATTCAAGTCCCATACTCTTTCAATTTCTTAAAAAGAAATCCACAATGAAATTTATGAGATTATTCTATAAAAATCAGTCTCTGAAAGTACCAGATATGTCTTTTTCACTTCTTTTCTAATTTCTTTACATATACCAGGTTGATATGACTGTTTGTTAAGTAAAAAATTATGCATATTTTCATGAAATCAATTTTGAATATATTAATTGGTCCACAACCAACGTACAAACTCACATTTTACCTTGTGGAAAGGAAGAGTAATAAACATTGAATGCATTTCCTAATTGACAGGAATTTCTATATAACACTAGGGTTGCCATGTCCCTCCTGATAACTGGTAGGTGATGGGGCAGACTTACCAAAAGAGAGAGGAAGGCCCAGGTGACATGGAGACATCACTTCTGGCACTTACAGGAAGTGATGTCATCAAGCCATGACATCTCAGTGATGCTCTGATATTTGAGCAAAAACTCTATAGTAAACATGGCTTCTACCATAGAGTTTTTGCTCAAATTCCAGATTGTCACCTGGATGTTGCTGGTGTGATGATGTCACTATCTGTGCTTGCCAGAAGTTACATCACCATGTCACTGGCATGTTCACCTGAGCCTTGCTGTCTATCCTGGTGAGTCCCCCCACTGGCCAGATGATTAGCAGTGGGGTGGGGGCCTAGCACAAGAGGACCCCCACCTCCACCAGGGGAGCTGGCAAACCTATATAACACAATAGTCATTACATTTGAAATTGATTTATAGCTGTGATAGAAGGAAGTACAAGTAGTTCCAAGGAATATTGGGGCCATTATAATTTGAATAACAATGTAAGCATATTGTATTCTGAAATGGGAAGAGAAATTGGGGCTGAGTAATGCATGCCAAATTG